CTTTGGCTTTTAACAGTCAAGGACTTAAGTCAACAATCATCAAATCCAGAGAGGGCTTCAGTTGGAATGGATGAAGAAAACAGGTTAAGCATTACAAACACACACTCCTTTGCAGGTATTGCACACAGTACTAAGCAACAAGATCAAGCACATGACTGGTGTGGTTTACCTTGGCAAGCGACACTTATGGACTGATTTGACTTAAAGAAGTGTACTATAATGTTTTATAACCAATAATGACAAATTAAATAGGGTTTGGATGCTTCTCCAAATTCATGCACAAACAAGGGTTAAGCCACGAATATAAACCCTGCTGCTGATAGTGCTTATAATTCTGAAAAAAAGATTAAGTTACATTTTGACAGTTCTGTTTGGTGGCACATTTTCAAAAGCTTTCAAGATTTCACATCACCTTTTGGAATCACTATGAAAAAACAACAGGCTGAAAAATTTTATGTAGTATTCTCCAATTTTTTTATAGCATAAGTAATTTTAGGCTGCAACGTCAGGCAAAAACTGAAGGCACCACACATGCTACTGCATACAAATCTGAACAGTAGGTATTGTTCTATCAGAGCAAGGCATTGGCAAAGCAATTCCAATTCTGAATGATTTTTAGTTCAATTTGTGTTTTTTGCAGATACATCCTATTGTCAAGCATAAGATAACTCAACCGCTTGTACAAAGCTGAATGGAGAATGGTTATCCATTGGCTGGCATTACTCATACAGGAAGATCTCCTGTTTGCTCAACTACTGCCCTGGTGAGTTTTGGATCTGTTTGCTCAACTACTGCCCTGGTGAGTTTTGAAAAATGACTCTCATTTTCAGTCCCTTTAGCACTGGAAGTTCCCCGAGCAGTACTGAGCAGAGCTGAACATGAAGTTGTGCAAGGAAAGCATGGCATCCTCTTACTTGGAAAAGATTTCAGTTCTCATGGCCAGAAACCCAGTTAGTTTTGCAGTGCAATGTAGAGAGTTGGGTTTTTACTGCTTAAGCAAGAAGCAAGGGGTCTGAAAAATTTGGTCTCCCAAACAAGAGTTCCAAAACTCCAGAAAGGTGGACAAAAATTAAGTTGACTGAACTTGGGGATTTAGGTTACTTTGCTCAAGTTAACTCTTAAGAAGATATTGTTTCCTCAAAAGTTTTTTTATAGAAAAAGAATTACCAAGGCAGCATGGCTGAGATCCCAATTTTTCCACTGAAGAGGATTTCTGAACTCCCTGCACTAGCACAGTGCTAGTGAGTGCTAGCTCCTTCTGGCACTGTACCTCTGGCAGGGACTGGAAGGACTACTTGAAAAAGCAAACTATTATTTGTATTTAGTTGTTTTGAAACAAACTCATTATTGGAAGCAGCTAACATATTAAACATCAAGACTGGTTATACAGTGCTTATTTCAATGATTTCACTATAAAAGAAAGATCTTAATCAAAGCATGAATTATGTCTTTTAAAAAGCTTTGGCCAAGGAGATCCAGCCACACTGTGCCCACACCAGCTCTTCCCACATTCAACTAACTTGCTATGCAACCAGCTCACTACGAGGTGGAACTGCAAAAGAGCCCATAAACAAACCGAACATACATACTGAGATCTAAAAGGAGAAACCCAACACACCTGTGCAGAAAAAGTAAATATAATGTAAAGTGAACTAATCCCTATGTACAGATCCTAAGACAGGCAGGCTGGAAATATCACACTCATATTATGTTATTTCCAGTCCCTGCTGACTCAATAGAACTGAAAATTATTACAAATAAATCAGGAAAATAATCCTCCCAATACTATCTCCTAAGAGACTGAATGTGGAGGTAACACGAAACACAAGGGGACTGGCACAAACACAGGGAAAACAGCTTTTAAAAAGATCATATAAGAACATGGCCATTTCTCCTACTAACTCCACACTTACAAAACTTGTGAGTAATGCTCCACTGCTCTGATTACTGCTAAGCAGTGACTAAGCCGCAGCTTCTGCATCAGACATTTAAAAATATAGGAAGCTTTTCTACAGGGACATTGCTGAGGAGCAATACAAGTAAAAGGAAAACATATGTTCAAGAAAGAAAGCAGATATTCTCACTACTTCCCATATGAGGTGTTTTGGGAAGCAGAAAGGAGGCCAGCTCTATCACACAAAGGCACAGATCTTCACTGGGGCAGCCAGCAGGTTTTTCAGGTCCCACTTCCCATCCACAGAATATCTGTAGCTGTTCTCTCTGCATTTCCAGTTCCCCATGGTGAAGTATTTCATTCTGGTTTTATAGTGCCAATAAATGTTCACATGGATTGAGAAAAAGAGTAATTTTTAGGTGCTACTACATTTTTTGGAGTTTAGAATACTGTTTAGATTTCTCTGTGGCAAGAACCTTTCCTGTATGCCTTAGAAGAGGAGGACATCTAAAAGTCCTTCACAACAATCAGGCTGCTTCTGCATCCCTTTCAAACTTTCCTTCTGAAGCTAGTCAAGGAAATCCAGGAAAAATAAATCTTATCTTGATGCAACACTAACACAATCAGATCACTGATCTGACCAAAAACATTGGTCAGCAAGGACTCATCAAGCATTTCATTTTTGTTTGAACTGCTCATAAGCTTTCTCTCTTGTTACAATATTGAAATACCTGTGACTGCCACATGTCACTCCAGACTGACTCAACATGTCAAACACTGAAGGAGGACCAGGAGCTAGTTTTTGTAAATAGTGATGTAAAAGCTATCAGTAACAAAATAACTTGTTTCAAAAGACCAAAAATGCAGGTTTTTCCAAGATTAGGCACCTATCTGACCACAGCAGAGACTGCTCACACTCTTCAATAAAATGTTCCGTTCACATCCAAGATACAAAACAACTAAATGATGGCACGAGAGGAAAACTAGCAGCTAAGAATAGACCAAAAAATTGAAAAAAGCAGGCACCAGTGTTTCTCTCACTGAGTGCAAGCTTGTTTAGCAACATCACCACTGACACATCAGTCAGTGTCACTAACTGTATAAATGCACAGTGCTTAACTACAGCAACCACTCAAGTTGAGCATAAAAAACCAAACCCCTCCCTGGAAGGCTGTCCTGGAATTGTCACAAGAAGGAATAAAAGGTTACAATTTCTCAGCAATTTCTCCTGCAAGAAGCCTTTGTAGCATAGGATTTATCATTGTGTCCTTGTTCCAATAAGCTTTTTGACCTTTTAAATCTCTGATCACCCATTTCCCTACTACAGGAACTCTCTGCTGTGGCCTCCTAACATAGGGCAAGATGGATTTTGGCCAGCAAGAGGAGAGAGACAAAGGAAGAACAAGAAGAGGAACATCTTCCTGACCAGAAGCTATATGCTGATGCCTTTTCGAGCCTCAAGTTAACAAACAAAAATTTATCTTAGATCAAACTAGAACTTTCTCTGCACATGACACGACTTCTGTCTCATCAGGTATCTGTTGCGGACAAAGGTTTCTTCTGGCAGATACTTCACTCTACAGGAAAACATCTGTAAAAAACTGAGACAAGCCAACTGACATGAGCTCTGACTGCAGGGAAGGAAACTCCAGCTGCCTGTTGCCAGAAGTTGAAATTCCAACTTTCAACTGTGCTCACACATAAAAAGGGTAGGCTTTTGATAACTGCTGAATAAACACAAGCCTGGCTGGCTCATGGTAAATCAACACAAGGAAATGACAAAACATTATGAGCATGTCCTCTTTTAGAAACTCTGACTGTCAAAATACATCAAGCTAACTTTGATCTCTTTCCATAAACTTCACAGTAGCAAATCATTAAATACCTATCATCAGTTGAGCTCCAAATTCTTAGTCAACAACCAGAGACAGAGCACACATGCAACTGCATTAAACAAATTCAACATACATCACCTTTTACTTTTAAGAGCAGACCTGCCACAGAAGTTGAAAGAACACAGAAGCATTGACCAAACATAATTTAAAGGGTATGCTATGTTTACATAAAATTGGTTAAGAATATGCCATCTTTGTTACTAACAACTTGAATACAAAGATGAGTAATGTTCAGCAGTACAAAAAGTACAAATTTCCAAGTCAGAAAGTGTCGTTACTGAAATAGTTTCCTCCATAAGGGTAAGTTTGCCTGATTTTTTTTTTTATTACTGGAGATACAAAAAAATTCTAGCATTGTACAAGAAACTAATCACTCCCACTGCTATTAAAGCAAGCCTTAACCTCTCAAGCACACATGCAGGTAGCTGCATGCAAGGAACATGCAAACCCAACACCTACCTCCACTTTCGGAAAGAAGTATAAGCTGGTAAAACAAACATCTTTCCCTTGACTTTCAGATGGGAACAGGGAAACAACTGCGTAACACCTGCTAAAAAGCCTACCTGTAATCTAATAATCCTAATGATCTCTGAATAGCTACAAAGTCAAATTCAGAAGGGTGAAAAATAAAGTTTCCTACTGCAAAAGAACTCGATACATGTGAAGAGGAAACAATTACATTTCTATATTTTTGTACTTCACCAGGTTTCTCCATACATACTAAAGCATTCCTTATTCCCCAAGGACTGACCCCATAGGCAAGAGCACCTGTAAAGTGCTAACACATTTTCCCACTTTGCAGTCAGGTGCCTTCTATTGATCCGCTGCTCAGAACACATCACAAAGAGTTATACAAATTCCATCTTCTGCCATCAGTCTGGTCACCAAGAATTTCTACTATCAAAGTAAGGCATGATTTTTTTGAAGAATTACTTCCCATTGACAATTCTTTGAAATGGAACAGAAAAGAGTAGGCAAAAAGAAAACCAGAAAGGGTACTAGCCTAACAAAACCAATCCAGAACTACAGTGTAACATACACTCATGGTATACAGTTCTTACTGAAGTATCCTGTCTGATATATGAAAACCATATTCCAGCTGCAACTGTAAGCATCAGACGTTTTTAAGAACACATAAAACCTCACAGATCTGAGCAACAAGTGCTGAAGTGCATTGATAAAAATACTTATGTAGCCATTTAGTTACTTACATTGTTGTTGCGTGTTTCTACTGCTGGGAATTTCCTGACTATGAATTTGACAGCAGATTCCAGGTTTTTGTCAATAAGATAGGATGGTTTGGCTTTGGGGTCCCCACATGCCTGTAAGAAAATACAATAAAAATGGAGTAAAATCACAATAATCCATCTAAAGCTAAGTGAGAGTTGCAAATCTGAAGACAAACTAGGAAGATTTTTTTTTTTGTTTTTTTTAGTGAGCAGGTGATAAAATGATAGGCAAAGTGCAGGGACTGTCACAGCTGAAATATGCAATGGGAAACAGTACAGAGATGCTCTTCTACTGAAAAAGATGCATGGAAGTATCAAAGCAGTTAGTGCAGAACAGCAGTGAGGGAAAAAACTCAATCCTAAAAGAAGGAGAAAAAAAATTGTTTCCTTTTAATGCTATTCCTGGTTTGAGGTAGTGTTGTATTCATCTGGAGTTAATACACTGTTAGAAAATTCAATCATATCATCAGTGCAGGGCACATTAAATGATGAAACTATGCTTTGTGAAACAAAACTAAAAGCCCCACCAATCTGCATTTAATTTTCTTTTCAACTGTTAACTGCAAGACAATTTTCCATCCCACAATAAAACCACCAATACTTGCCTAAAGTCTCCTATTTCCTTAGAGTTTTGCTCATTTCCTTTACCTACAGTAGCATAGGCTGTGCTTTAAAAGCAGCAAGCAAGACATATTATTCATCAAGTCTCTTCAGTAACTTTCACAGGTATCAGAACAGTTTCTGTGGACAAACGACTGAGAAGCATCTACTTTTGCCAGCTACAGCGCATGCTGCCAGACACACTTCTCAACTACTCTGACTAGCGAGCCATGCTACACCCTTGAGTTTGGAGCAACACACCAAAAGCACAGTTACTTACATGACGAAATTTGTGCTCAAATGGCATTTTCTCTCAAATATTCATTTACTTTTATAGTTCTCACAGGGATTTGCAAAGGAGATTTGTGTCTCATGCAAAACTAAATTACATGCTAGGCGTTCCTACGCAATACAGTGAACTCAAATGACAGCTCATTTTAGAACTTTTCCACATTGATTTCTATGACCAAGTTGCAGACTGTAGAGACAGAAGTCATGGAGTATGAGACCGATTCTGAAAGCGGGCAAGCGGGCAAAGGGAAGGTGAAAAGCTTTGCAAACCTTCCAAACTTGTCCTTGCTGGGAAAGCAGTGTAATAAAAAGAGAGAAAAATTACATATAAACAAATTACTCTTAAATTCCAAAATACGTTACATTTAAGAAGCTAGCACACTATTACCTACATCCACAAGAACATTACCACCATCCGTTACTCTAGGCAGCATACTTTCTACTGGATGGTGGTTATTCTAATACTCACAAGCAACTTTTTACATGTACTTTTTAGCAATAACTAGCAAGAACTGCAAAAAGTTCTTCC